GAAAATAATTTTATGGTTGGGGGTAGCTATAACATGAGGAACAGTATTAAAGGATTGTGGCATTAGGAAGGTTGAGAACTACTCCTATACATGTACTTTATATACAAACAGATGTATGTATATACAATCATTTTCTAGGATACACTCAATTAGTGACAAATTAATAGAGTAAGGCACAAATTTATTGGATATCAGTACCTTGTAATTCTAGTAAATTTTATGATTTCTTGAATAAGGATTAAGAAATTATAGTTTATTCTGTATAGACATTTAATGTACACATATACAGTTATCTGAAATGAAGATATTTTAAATGTCAGGTTCCCTGAATACTTTCAGATATTTCAACTTTTTTATGCAGACTAAAGTTTCTATTTCAAAATCTACCTATGACAAGATGAAGCAAAAGAGAAAAGAAAAAGAACTTTTTGACATTAAAGACTGCGAAAAGAAGGAACAGAATCCCTGGGAACAAATGAAACAAACAGGAAGTGAGAAAACGGCATCTGAAAGTAAGTGGCATGTAAATTCTGGCGTAGGTGCTTTTTCTGGTAACATTGCAAAACTGGATGAAAAATGGCTTACCTAAGGTTGATACATAACTAAGAGTGGAATATATTGACCTATAATGCTAAAATGTGTAGTACTGTGGGATGTAGAGGCAGATGGATTGCCTGAGCAGTTGGAGACTAGCCAGATGAATTGCCTGAGCTCAGCAGTTGGAGACTAGCCTGAGCAAGAGTAAGACCCCACTTTATTAAATTTTTTTTTTAAGAGACAGAGTCTCACTTTATTGGCCTTGGTAGAGTGCTGTGGAGTCACAGCTCACAGCAATCTCCAACTCCTGGGCTTAGGGGATTCTCCTGCCTCAGCCTCCCAAGTAGCTGGGACTACAGGTGCCCACCACAACGCCCGGCTAAGGACCCCACTTTAAAATAAAAACCAGCCAGGTGTTGTGGCAGGTGCCTGTGGTTCTAGCTACTTGGGAGGCTGAGGCAAGAGAATCGCTTGAGCCCAAGAGTTTGAGGTTGCTGTGAGCTATGATACCATGGTACTTAATCCTCGGGTGACTGAGTGAGACTCTATCTCAAAAGAAATACAAAACAAAAACACTAAAATTTGCCAGAGCCAGTAGCTTCTATTTTAATCATATATGACTACTATAGTATTAGTTTGTTCTCATAAAAACAAAAATGATTGTTTTTCTCTCTTCTAGATTTAAACATTTTTGGAGATGAGATTGGGGATATCAAAAAATGAGAATTCTCCTTTAGAAAACATTGCTTTCAACCCTCCATTGAAAGGAGGGTCCAGTTTAAAACAGTCACTGTGTTTAGTATTTTCAGATTCAAGTAAGTCACTTATTTAAATGCAAAGACTAAAGTCACAAATGCTTGTTAAGCTGACGATACCACATGTGGTTCAGTGCATTTGTGATGGAAAGAACCTCTGAACCAAGAGTCAGTAGACAGACCTGGCTTCTTTTTTTTTTTTTTTTTTTTTTGAGACAGAGCCT